GCGATTTGAAGAATCAAATCCTCTGGCAACGCCTGGTACAAATATGCGATAGCGGAATTATCCTTTTTCCGATCGACATCTGTTCCAGGATCAATCGATTCCCAGATTTCGTACGCCTTGAAAATTGCTTTGATCCTAAGCGACCAGATGGGATAATTAGTCGCGGTTAGGATCGGACACTGGAATGGAAGCTTGTTGTTATCCTTGATTACCGCAACCTGGTTGTTGGCATCAGCCATCGTATTGTTCTTAGATCGACGCTTGTACTTCTGCCCTGTCTTCGGATCTGGTAATTGATCCAACCCTTTTGGATCAGGAGAGTTTCAGGCCCTTCGAACTCAGCTCCGATACCAATTGAAGTTATTGGTACCAAATCTCGATAAACAGAAAACAGAAATCTAGAACAAGAACTTATTGGAAATCCTTCTCCAATTAATTGAAAAACTTTGAATGCATAAAATACAGAGAAACTATCCCTATTTATAGATGAGTTAACCTTGTCCACCAAGTTAAATCATCAGCCTTGCTCTCCAAGCATAACATCTCCTACTCCTACAAGCTATGATAATCTCAAATCCATCTGAGATATATCTCCTAAAATTATGACTGACTCTACCCTAATTATTAACAAATAAAGACTTCAACATAATTACAAAATAAACCCCCTAACTATTACTGAATGTCAAGATTGGTCCAACACTCGAACCTGTATTTGGCCTCGACATTGTCTCGATAACAATCACTTAGTGCTTGTATTCAACTCGAACTTGGTAATCAAGCTCACATGCACAAGCTCAATATTGAGGAAGCATAAAGTTATATGCAAAATTTTAACATAACAATTTTATAACATTCATGTATCCTACTACATATATTCCTGCAACATACAAAATACAGAGTAATTTCAATGCATAAGAATTAACAAGAGAAACTGATATGATTTCCATGAAAGCTCATCTCAATTACAAGTACACAAGTATTAAGACCAACACCACTTCCAAAATCTCAAAGTGAAGATGTCCACAATTGAACAATGAACATAAAATACCCACAGTTAATACAGAAAAAAAAACACCAAATCTTTCATCCTCAGGGAGAATAATCTCTTTTTCCTTAGATGATACAATGACACCAAAGGTTTCCAGTAAAATTATCATCATATAACTTTGGGCATCTTCACGGTCGAGCTCTAGGTCATGTAATCTTGATTACCGGGTTTGACTTAAGTATGGGTCCTAAATGAGTGTTTCAAATCGACCTCAATCCCAAATATGAGCTTGAATTCTCTATAGAGTGAGCTCAAGACGAGGCCGATTATATGACACTCGAGATCAACTAGGCTCAAATGACGACACTAATTGAAACAGATTATTCAATTTCTCATCTAATCTCAATTTGCACTCAGCTTGATTAACAAAAAGACTAATCTAGAGGGTGGAAATGATGATTGTTTTATCCACAAATCCACAATTGCAATGAGAGTCACACAGATAGAAGAAAAAATTGTCTTCTATGATATAATTTATATGATATCAATATAACAACGTATGTTGTATAATCATTTCAAATCATATCCTAAAACCGTGAAAACTCATTTCTAAACCAATAACAAATCCAAAACTAAACAGTCTATCAATCAACCGCTGAGTGCAAAATGAACACCGTTTTTAAGATAGAAAATTACCTCGAGAGGGAGGCTCATGAAATCATCGGATGGATTAGCCTGCATCTCTTTCACCTCCTGAAGAATCCTCTTCACGGCCGGGTTCTTTAGATTGTATTTGTCTTCCGCCATCCTCCGCCGCCGATCGCCGTCCGCGATAACTCTAGATCATAGAAGGCGCGTTCCGATGCCTTTTAGAGAGAGAGAATGTCGGGTGAGAAAGTTCAGTAACGCGTCATTACTTAACGTGGCGAACAATGGTTGGGCACAGTGACGGAGCGCACTTTTTTATTTGAGTACTTTTGTGCTAAAACTAAAATTTACACTATTTTTTGTAATTTTCTGATACCAACTATCAAAAATAGTTCAGCATGCTAAGTGTACTCAAAATGTGTATTTCATTTGTATATCAAAAGTATACACCAATATTTTGACGATTCACACCGACATAAAGTATTGGTACGTTAACAAAAATTTACACTGACACAAAGTGTTGGTGCGTTAACAAAAATTAGCATTACACCAACACAAATTGTTGGTGGATCCCTGCAGTGAACAAAATGGGGTACAAATAGTTCCATAATTGGTTCTTTATAATAAGAAGATGGAAAATGCTAGGGTGCCACCACATGGGTGCTACCATGGGTGCACCCATGTGGTGGCACCCTAGCATGGTCCTAAGAAGATTTCTATATTTAATCTTCTATTATCAAATATTACCTTCGTAGTCTTTCTTTTATTAATGTTTTTTCCACAAATAGTCATTTTTTTATCTTCTCTCATTTAGTGTTAATTTAAAAGCTAAAAGTATAATTTGACATCTACACTCTATATCCAGATACGTATTCTGATATTTGCTAGACGGATAACTACTCCACTGGGGAGAAGAGGAAAAAAAATGAGGAAATGTCCAATCCCTCCATGACATGTGAGACTCCTTTTTAATTACGGAGTATATAAAAGTGTATTAGATTAGTTTTTTTTTTAACGAATAGATTGAATTTATTTTGAAAATAAAATAAAATTCTTTTTATTACTTGATTGAATTTGGGATGTATCTTTTTTGAATGTCTAAAAATTAAGTCTACACTTCTTCATTCTTTCCTTTTTGGAATTAATATGGGACATCTTTAATTACATCTCTTCAAAATAAATTTTCAACCACACAATTTTTCAAAGTCGATTTGTTGAGAAATGTAAAAATTAAAATAAAGTTAATCATTTTTTAAAAACTAATTTTAAGACAAGTTCATTTATTAAAACGAAGTCAATTACCTCTTTTATTAACTAATAAAGCTGAATTTTATTTTTTGCCAATTTTTACATTAAAATGATTTTATATAAAAAATATTTAATAATGATAAAATCATATGGATCAAATAATAAGTAATATTCTAGTAGTCCTATATATATATATATATATATATAATGACACCAGTGCTACTGGTGTCATTTACTTACACCAGTTTGTTTGGGGTACCTACGGTGCTCCGTTTGTAAAAACGACGGTTCCTACAACCCTAACCATCCCCCTAAACCCCCCACCCCAGCCCCACCCTTGCCCCCACCTGTGGGTATATTTATTTTTGTTTAAAAGTTATTGTATATGCTTTTGATGTGTGTAATCCATGGCGTTAACTTTTTTTTCTTCATTGTAATGAGTATATAAATCTGGCAGATTTGAGCCTCTATAGCATTTTGAAATGGGCAGGATCCTGGAATTAAATTTTGCAAAGGAAATATCAATAGGTGACTGTGGATCACCCATGTGCGTAAATCTGAAGATTCAAAGTGGCAGTTCATTCTTGAAATGAAATTGGGGCAGTGGCAGTTCATTTATCACTACATTTGTGGACTACTTGGCTTGATTTTATACGGAATAAAAGATGCCATGTACTGAATGAATTTTAGTTTCTTTTTTTTTTGTGCACAAGTGATTGTAAATTGTAGTATTCTAAGATTTTATATGTAATTGCCACGTGTACCAAGTGAATCATGGCCTTTGGATGACGGATTCTGGCGGGAAAATTGGGAATTGCAATTGCATGGAATTTCTCATGGGCTTTTATATGTGTATATATATATAGTAGATTTGTATAGATGAGAAAAATCTTGTGCACTACATTTTATTTTGAATGTCTTGTGCACTAATTTTCATTGCTAGAAAAGGAATTTAAGTAATGGAAAAATATCTAATTAAAAGAGCTAAGAGAAATTCCATACCAAGCCATCCGGGAGATTTCTACGAGCCTTATTTAGAGCTATCTTAGAAACATGGGGGTAGATGTCAGAAACATAAGAGGTCGGAGGAGGGGAGTAGCCGGCTGCTTCCAACCTCTCCTCCCACTCTACCCAGATCTCGTTATCTGGGTCATAGGGGGCCGATTCATCATCGACCGGTTCCTCCCTCTCCGCAAAAACCTAACCGGGCATTTGGTTGAGGGGCTCCGGTTCAGGGACAGTGGGGTTGGGAACTGACCGGGGTTCAAAGTCTGAAGAATAATACCCGGTCGATGAAGATGAGGTCGTAGAATCCTCAGATGTGGATGCATTTGAGGATGAGACGCCTTGACTATTCAAAGAAGACATTAACCGGAAAAGAAAGCGGAGAACAAATGAAGACGCTAACGAGGAAAAGGAGGATACTTACTTGGCTCGTAGGGCTGGAAGGCTAAAACTGGGACCTAACCGGTAAAAGCTCGGAGAACACGAAAGCAAAAGAGTGAAGGAGTGAAGGCCTTTATATAGGCGAGGAAATTCTTGAGAGAGGCGACGTGGCCTCAGCAGAACGCGCCGCGTCAGGCGGCGCAATCATCACGCATGGGAAGATGAAAGGACACGACCGTTGCCATGCCAGCGCGCAACACGTGTCGAAGTCAGTACTTTCAAAATTCAAATTTTGAAATTATTTGGCAGGGAATTCAATAAATTCGAATTTTGAGCTCGTTTTTCAAGATTTTTACTTCTCACCCATGATATTTTACATGGCCGAGAAGTGGAGGACTTATTGATGAGTGTAATCCACCCAGGACCGGTCATTGGACATATCCAGATGTTTGACCGATCAAATGTGATATTATTGGAAGGGAAATTTGAGTCGTCAGTCAAGGAGAACTCAGTTCACCGGAAAGTTGACCGGTATACTTCTGAAAGTATACCGGTCAAACCGTTTCGTCATCCAGTTCATCTCTCAATTTTAGCTAATCCCAACCCTCAAGAATCATCCGGTGCCGTTTCCAAAGATGGGAGGGTGTCGGCAGGAAGAATCCAAAGGGGCTTGGACTGTAGTGACTAATATCGCTAGAGAATCAATGGAGATGCTAAGGGATTTCATCCAAGGTACTACAAGACAAGAGGGCAACCTTCCTCACTAGGCGACAAGGTAGCTAAAGGACAAAGCCCATCACCTCCCACCATCTGATAACGTGCCTGAACGTGGCTGCGTCCCCCCTTAGCCTAGTATATAAACTGCTGTAAAACTCAGAAAAGGGGCCAAATTGATTCTCTCCAAACCCCCCTGTAAAAGCACCCGTGCACTCTCTCATATTAATATCAATTAGGCTACAGGTGTTTCCACCTACAGCCTTACCGGTCATTTTGCTTACTTTATCGAATCAAGTAAACGATTCTAGACTCGGTCTAGTGGAGTTTACCCGGTCAAGTAATTTACACCATCAATATATATATATATATATATATATATATATATATATATATATATATATATATATATATATATATATATATATATATATATATAATATCAAAACACTTATTTGAAAATAGATAATTTTATCAAATTTTTTTAACATTCCACCAACACATTCAGACGGTCAAACCAGTTAAAGTCATTAGTCATCAAGCTGGTACAACAATTAAACTCATGTGTTAATTTTATATTGTCGGGCAGAGGGAGTATAACTCTGTGATATCAAACAAAGGATTTGAAATTGATGGGAAATAATACGTGGCTCGGCCCACATTTCCCAATTATTTACGAAGAATAATCAAACCGGGTCTGTTCGTAAAATGAAGGAATAAGGGAATATTCCTCCGAAAATGCTCCCCTCCTTCCTATAAAAGAAGGGGTTGCCTAATTGAGAAGGGAGGCCAATTTCATTCATCTCCTCTGCCCAATACACTTTCTCTCTCAA